GACACGGCTTTGGGAGAGCTTCAGAGTCCGAGCTGGGAGTCGCATCTGGGCTGTACGGCGGAGCAGCTGGAGGACACCAGCACTGAGGAATCCCTCGTGCAACAGTGCACCTGAAAACAGCTTGGCCAAAGGTGTTCTGGTCCGATGAGAGCAAACTGCAGCTTTGTGGTCTGAATCCCAAGTGTTCCCTTCTGCTGTGTTGGGGTTAGGCCAATCTCCCGGTGCTGGTTCAGTCACGCTTCATAGGGCTGGAGCAGAGTAAGGTCAATGCTAGAGGAAAACCTGTTTCAGTCTCCTGAAGACCAAACTGTGGTGAAAACTCCCCATTCAGCAGGATAGTGATGTAAAAGCACAAGACCTGAGCTACGCTGGAGTGCCTTCGGAATAAGAATAAGTCAGAATAAGTCAGAGCCCAGACTCGAGTCCCTTTGAGAATCTATGAAAAGATTTGAAAACTGTTGCTGTCATTAAGTTACTCCCTGAGCAACCAGAGAGACATCTGCCAAGACACATGGGCGAACACTGTAGCCAGCCAGTGTACAAGGTGAGTAGAGAGTTAGACCTATAACTGCTGTCAAGGGCTTTCCACTAAATATTGTTCATGCCTCTGAGTGCTATCAACATTCTTCAGTCTTGTTTTCTAGTTTTTGTTGACATTTACTGCAATGTATCTCTCCCTTAGTCTTCAGTTTGAACATTCTAGTTTTGAATAAGTTAAGTTTAGTTTCAAAAGTGTATGTATCCTTTTTTAATTTAGCAAAATACGACCCAAGGCAAGGCATTGTAGTTTTATGAAGCACTGCAGTTATTTCCTGTCCTCGTGTACAGTAGATGCTGAATGCAGAGTTTACTACTTACATAGCTTTCCAGCTGCCTCTGTTAAAAACTTGAGGACAAAATGGCGACCAGGCAGCCATCTTAATTTCCATGGGCGCCCTGACAGCCTTGGACAATGCCTGCCATGTGTGGAGCTGGCAGCAGGCAGCAGGAATTTACTCTTGGGGTTGTGTGTTGAAAAAGGCTGTTGGCCCATTTTTCATTTCAAGATTGGTGCATTTCAACCTGTGCTTTAACAAACCCGAAGCTCGAGGTGAAGGTTGTTGGTGACCTTCGTCAAGCTTGATCTGGAGCTGTGTAGTGGCTTCCGAGATGATGAGTGAGAGCTTTGTGTTTTTGAGGCTGCGGATCCTGCCTCCATCTAGGTTGATGCACAGTGTTCGTCAGATGACAAGGCCGGTGTTGGTCGGCTGCCTGTTTGTGAGCAGGACAAGATCACTGTGATCACTGGGGCTTTCAAACCTATTGATTACTGTATCTATGTGGAAAACCTGAGATTTGGCAAGTGGAGGCGAAGGGAAACAACGGTATATTCTGTAGGATGTTCAAGGCAGTGCTGTAGAATTGTTGGCCATGTTGTTTATTTTCTGTTACCGGAGAGATGTTACTCTTGTCTATCAGCCAGGAAGCACTGTCCTGGGACACGAGGAGTAAGGAGCATGCAGGCATCCTCTGGGGTGCTCGCAGCTGGGGCAGCGTTGAGCGCAGGGCTCGTGGCTGAGATTCCCCAGTAGCTGTGTGCAGGGAGGCCCAGGGATCACTGTTGAGGGTCCCATGAGGGAAACTACTAGCCTTAGTGGAGCATGCTGGGATAGCAAGAGCCTGTATTGTCCCTGTGGGAAGGTTGTGGCTGGAGGTCCCTGCTGGTGCTGTGCTGCAGTACCCCCCTCCTCAGCAGGGGGGCGCCATGTCTTTCAGCAGGCATGGTCATTGTGCATACCAGTTACCTGCCCACCTGATATCATCTTGACATGATATCTGGGTATTACTTACAATAAAAACATGAACTGCTTCACAAGCTTGCACATAGAATGAATCTATAAGACATATGGCGGGGAGCGAGCTCAACACCATCACTCAGACGAATTCCACTAGTTATAGTTTGATGAAAGTTTTTAATTTCACTGTGTATATCCCATGTATACAGTCTGCAGACACCAGCTCTGTCTGCTTGCAGACGTCTCCAGTGCCAAGATCTGCCCCCAGGTGCCTCCAGAGGCTCTGAGCTGCCTCTGCTTGTCTGCTCGGGGTCATGACAAGTGCACTGACAGCCCCCGAGTAAAAATGGGGCCACGTGTTTTCAGTGCATTCGGCAACCCATTGCAGCAAGCTCTCCCAGCTGCTGGAGGACCAGCGGCAGGTGTGAGAGGTGTGTGTAAACCGAATTGCTCTGAAGGTGTGCAGCACAGCAGACCCCTGGCCCTGCAGTGTAAGACAGTCTCACGGGTACATGCTCCTGCACTCAGTGTGTCGACAGAACAGACACAAGAGACAGTATTTTTATTGATTAATCAATTAAATATCTCAAGCCCTACACAATATCTCTTAAACTGTATGCAACATATTTTAATACAGTATCTGTGAATGGGAAGAAGTCATTTCAGTGATACAGACTCAGACCAGCTAAATTCGAACTTTTCTAGGGAGGGAAGTTCTTTCCTTTCCTCTCCTCAATAAATACAAAGAATTTTAAAACATGTGTGGCTAGGGGGATAGCTGTACTTCTCCTTTCAATTGCCTTATTCTGAACATTTAGAATAATGTATATGGTTCACCTGTATTTAAACATCACTCAGTTCGTGTCTTGAGACAAGTCATCACAAAAAGGTACTGGTGAGACAAAGAGTGATCATTTATTCAGGTCAGTTATCTTCACTGTGAAGTCGGTTATACTATAATAGTATTTCATATTTAACAGTAACTGGGTCATTCCTAGTGAGCCTGCCTCTATACACACTGAGTGGACTGAGCCGCTGGATGAAGACTGACGCTGTGGGGCCTGAGGTCAGCGGGAGAGTAATGAACCACAGCTCCGAGACAGGAACTGACAAGCGGAAAGAGAAAGCAAGAGCAGGGAAGAAGAATAGACACCTAGACGTCATCATCATCGCCAGAAGCTGTGCCTCTTGTTCAGACTTGAAACCAGATTCGGCGCTGGTCTCCCGAGCCCTGAAAGAATACCCGAGCCTGGGCCTTATCAGAAAGGGATTGCCTGTCGTATCTGTGGGAGTTGTGATTTTCTCGATTTTGGAGTCCTCAGGCAATGAACACCTCTCTTATTTCAGCGATGCCTTTGTTAGCACAGGGAAACTGGTTCCCAGTCATCGGCATGCATCCATTCGGAGAGAGATGTAGCTCCTGTTAGTATCCACTCTGTTGGTAAGGATGCAGGTTCTCTCTCTTTTAAGAGTTTTTGCATTCTGATTATAAGAGAGAGAATTCTGAGTTCTCAGTGCCTGTAGGAGGCAGGGCTCTGAGACTCACAGAAATCTGAATACCTGTTCCTAGGGTAATTCTTGTGAATTGTGTAGTTGTGTTATTAAATATTTGTCTGTCTTGTATGAATTACTCTATCACCAGGATGAAAGACCCAGTGGTCATGTGATGCTTGGTGACCCCTGCCTTTAGGAGCAGGGGTCCTACTGGAACTACATTTCTTCATCATTTGCTTGTTTGGCAAGCTGGTCTCAGGATGTGATTCTCATTTCATTCTTGTTTTCATTGTAACATGACCCCAAATCACGAGATCCTCACATATCGTGTCATAACACTTTCACCAGAGCTGAGCTTCACTGAGTACATCTGTCCCGGCAGTGAGGGTTTCCTGCACGCTTGTCACTCCTCCAGCAGCTTGCCCAGGGATGAGCAGGATGATGGCTTTCCTCGCCCTGGGCTTCCTGTTACTCTTGTGCTCAAAGACTGTCAGGATGTCACAAAGCAGCAGTAGGTGAGCCTGTGTTTTAGACACGTGAATCACTTGCGTTCTTTCTTCTCTGCAGTGCCAAAGGCCGTGCAGCGCAACCTTGCATTGAGCTGTGATGTCATCGTGTGGGCCCCACTGTCTGCGGGCTGTGGGCTGCTCTTCCTCATCCTCATCATCACCATTACCTACTGCAACAGTAAGCACTGCTCCCAAGCCCCCCTCTGAACTAAGCTCTCAGGTGGAAACGTGTGTGAAAAGCTAATCGACTCTGCCTTCTCCTGTCTGCTGATGGCACCCGATCACATTGATGACTATTCCAGTGTGAGCCAGGTCTCAGGTCCGACATGTTGTCAGAAGAACAGCTACACACAAGAGGAGCCATTCAGCCCCTCTGGCCTGTTTGGTAGTTAGTAGCTAATTGAACCCAGGATCTCATCCAGCTGTGTCTTGAGTGTATCTGCTTCAACAGCATGGCTGGGCAGCCTGTTCCACACTCCCACAACTCTTTGGGTAAAGGGGTGTCCTTGAAATGCACTCTCACATATAATGCTTTGCTAAATTATTCACCCCATTCCATCGATGTCCCATTTTGTTTCATTACAAATAATTTGTGCACATCTTTAAAGTGAACGTTTTCAATCCAGAATTAATTCTGAAACTGAAGACTTCTAGGTATGAAAGGACATAAGTGTCAGCAAAACCTGCACTGTCTTCTGGCAGGGGACTTCAGAAGGGACACTGTTGTACTACCCTGTGACAGCTAAATCCACATTTGTCAGTATTTCAAAGCAAAGGTGAGCTTTTTCTCTGCTGTGGAGATGAGGGATGGTGTCCTTTCAAGCGGAGCTGACGCTGCCCTGCAGTTCTTGTTAAACTGCTGTTTCTCAAGCCCTGCAGAGCTTTGCCCACCTGCTGCATGGAGCTGCAGTGTCCCAGCACGTCCCCGAGCCAGAAACCGACGGTTTCCTAACGCGGCCGCTCGGAGTCTTTCAGCTGCTTCAAGCCCCTCGCGGGAGGTCCGGCTCTCTGCTTTCCCACTGCTGTGTGCGTCCTGTCTGTGCGCCACTGGAAGAACCGTCAGTCCTCTGCTCTATACAATAACGATAGAGAAATGTCGAGGCAGCCGTGGTTCCCAGCTTGTCTTCACAAGTGGCGCACAGACCCGTACAGACATATTCAGGAATCGCAGAGAACGGCCCAGTCGAGGGTTTATAAACGTCTTTCTCTCAGCCTTGGCTCTGATAAGACACCGCCTCGCTGCTGTCCCGCCGCCTCGCAAGCTGGAAGAACGAAATGTTTTCTTTTTATTTTTCAGAGGTCCGAACGAGACGCTGTCCTCACCACTACAAGAGAAGGTCAGATGATATGTTTGTTTTTTTTACAAACTGAGATTCTTGTGCTTTTCAGGATTGTGAAATACACATGGCGGTTCCCGTTACAAAATAGCTGATGTCTTACGGTTAAGCGAGAAATATTGCAAATTATTACTTATGTACAAACCCGGATTCCCTAACCGGATATTGAGAAAATATGCTCACAAGGAAGTGAAAAATGTTTCAGAAAATGCTGAATCGAGCTGTTCGTCTCAAGAATCACTTTCACAAAAAATAATAATAAACTCAGCCAGTTTTTCAGCCCCAAATAAAAAATTACACTTTTTAAAGTTTTTATTTAAAAATCAGAAATACAAAAAAACAGACAAAATATTTAAAAAGATACAGATATAGACACTTCACAGCCAGAGGAAGTCACAATTATAAAAGCTGAAAATTAAGCTTTTTACATATTTCCATGATATGTCTTGCCTTTTGATTCTTTACATTTCTAATAGAATTTAAGTAAAAAAGGAATTGCACTTTAAAAGCATTAATAGATGGAGCCGTTTTAGACCATTTACTGTTAAACCGCGCATCAGAAGTGTTTTCACAATAAATAATATTCAGTCGAAGGGTACGGAAACTGCTGAAATTCGCTGGGCTGTCACGCTCGCCGGTTCCTCGGATTCTCCCACGAACGTCCTGCGGTCCGTGGGCAATACCGCGCGCGCCAGTCCGCTCCGCTTTGGACAAACCCCACACTGTCCCCTCAGTCTGCGAAATATCTGACGACATCTGACTGGTCACCCCAAACGAAATATTGGAATATAGTCAACAATCATGTTTGTTTATTGGCCTAGTTAATCGTTATAAGTTACTCATTTGCATTTAGATGTTTTATAAACGTTTGCGGGAGAAAAATAATTCCTGTTTTCTGGTTCCACATACTGTACATCAGGTAGTGTACGTCACGTGCTCTTTTCCAAAGTCAGGCGGAATGACCGAGGTACAGTTTGCTCTGGGGTCTCGGGGCGGTACTGTCCCGAACTCGGGGTACAGCGGGCTGAGCTGGGACGGTACTGTCCAGAACTCGGGGTACAGCGGGCTGAGCTGGGAGGTACTGTCCCGGACTCGGGGTATAGCGATGCGGAGCGCTCTGAGCGCGGGACTTGGAGTTGTAAGACGTGTCTAGTTGTCCTCTTCGTGTTTTCTCTTGCAGACCAAAGAAGGAAGTAAACGGAAGACCATCGGTTCCGGACAGATATGTTTAAGCAGAAACAGGTAAAGCTGTATGAAAGGGACAACTAGTCTTACAATCTGTAAGTTGTCTGTAAGCTGTCATTCTTGGCCGCCCGGGTTGGGGAAGGTCTTCTTTAGCTCAGTCGGCAAGACCCCTGCTGAGTGACACCGGAGACCCGGGTTCGAGCCCAGGCGGAGAGGGACGAACTGGGGCGGGAGCCCTAGAGATCGGCTACAACAAGATAGTAATACACCATTTATAGCCACTGTTTCTGAAGGTGTTAGCTGTAGGACTAACACCGCTGTCCGTGTGTCTGTCCGCTAGTGTCCCGAGCCCCCGGGCCGCGCGAGGAGCCCACGCCGCTGTGGAGTTCAGTGTCTCGTTTCTCTACACTAAAGCTGTACAGCAGCTTTATTTTCGCTGACTTCAGAAAATGCTGATGGCGGAACTGGCGCATGGCAAGCGGTAATGTGTATCTTGTAAAATGCTCATTCTTGCCCTACTGTATGTTTGTGCTGTATAAAGGTTGTTCAGAGTCCTGAGAAACTGTAATGGAAGACTATGGCTTTCTGAATCCATGCCTGTATATGTTAACCATTGCGTTTAATGCACTCGCATTTTCTCAAGTTTATTTGTTTAATACAATGCATCTATGTATGTGTATATCAAAAACACGTCCCATTATAACTGTGCATCCAAGACTTTCAGTTTACTGAATTGAGATATTGAGATCTGCAGGTGTAATGATAATATATTGTTTGAATTAAAATAAACTGAACTGATAATCATTTTACGCATGTTCTCTTTAGTTTGTAAATATATGGACAGGCTTGCCCAGCAGTGGCTGAACAGATTGAAAATGCAGCCTTGAGTTTATTTTAGCGTGACAAGAGATGTTAATGTCGCAGAAATATGCTGGGCGAGAAATAAAGCGATGTTTTGCACAACCCCACTCGTGTCCGTGTCTTGTGCTTCTGTACCGGCTGTGTTCTGCGCGAGGACCTGCCCTCTGGGCCGGACAGCGACACGTGCCGTCGCCGTGACGTCACCGACCCGCGTCTCTCCGGGCGGTGCCGCGTGCGCGTAAATTCCACGCTGCCGGAAAACTCGTAACCCGCGACCTCTCGCTCTCCCACGACCTCGTCCCCGCTGACCGCCCCCGCCGAGTACGGGAGAGTCGTCCCGCTTCCCCTGCGAAACCGCTGAGCGCAACAGAACCGGGCCCGGAGACTCTGCACTCCGCACCGCAGGACGGGAACCCCGCAGCTCCCTCTGTGAGAGACTCCGGCCCCGGGTGCGAGCTCGCCTGTCCCCTGTCCCGTGCGCAAGGCTCGTGAGGACGGGTGCGCAGGAAATGGAAACCACTCTTATGAAGAGAGCACTGGTCCTGGCACATCACCACGTGTGGTCGTTTCTGTAAGAGTGTAACGCCCCCGCAGGGTAATTGTCACAAGGCCGGTGGGTAACCGCTGCAGTGAAGTGTCCCAGGACACCACGTGTGCGGTAAGGTGTAGCAGTGTCTTGGGGTTGTGACACCAGGCATTTCATAAATCGTGTTTTAGGGGTGTTGTTTAGGGGTCGTCAACAACCACAGGCAGGTCGTGAGTGAGCTCACGGCTCCTCTCGCCTTGAGCAGAAGAACACACCACCGGTGTGGTGCAGCGGTTCACACAGCGCTTCCAAACCGCACGAGAGCTGACGTCAAAGACGAGTTCGCGGATCTCTCACCAGACTCGCGCCACGCGGGTGGGACTAGTTTGTCTTTGTACTTTTCAGAGACTGGCGCCACCCCATTCAGAGTAGCGGGAAAACGACATCATAGCCTCAGCCTGCTGTATCTCCACGGCCACACCTGGCGCTACCTGTAGGATTACTGTTGTTCTGCAGTTTGGTGCCTATTCTAGAAGCAGACACGTCCCCTCAGTCTTCACCGGAGCTCAGGAGCTCAGGTGTATGAACGCCAGGGGGTCATACAGAATGACAGACGAGAGTCGAGAGACTGAACAATGCCAGAGAGGGCCAGATATATCGACTTTTATCCACAGCTCCAATCCTGGTGCTTTGTCCTGTGTCACTCAGAGATCACTTTATTGGCCATATACAGTTTCTTGTATGAGGAATTTGTCTTTTCGCAGACCCCGGCTTGCTCTCCATGAGACACACAGACAGGGAGAGAAGCTGGGGGTCAGAGCGCAGGGTCAGCCATTTATACGGCACCCTGGAGCAGCTGGGGTTAAGGGCCTTGCTCAGGGATTCCTCTGCCAGCCGCAGGATTTGAACCAGCAACCTTCCAGCCACAGGCGCAGATCCTGAGCCACAGAGCCCCCAGACTGCTCCTCGCGAGGTTGGCAAGAGAGCGAGCGAGCGAGTGTCTTTAAAGACCAGGACGAGAGCAGAGCCTGCAGCGGACCAGGCGGCCGTGAGCTGTGCTGTATAAAAAGGACCGGAAACTGGGTCCATCTGTCTGTGCTGCTGTGCTCGGCTCAGTCCAGGCCAGCTCCTGCTCCGCTGCTGAGAACCACAGGCCTCTGTGAGCCGGGACGCCCGTCAGTGACCCCCCGGTCAGGGGCGACACTGAGGAGCCACCTGAGACCAGGGCTGGAACAGAGGGACAGAGGGGAGAGGCACCTGGGCATCTGCATGCAGCCCGTAGGCAGGGGCAGAGAGGTAGGGCAGTCTGTTGCCATGTGCACGTGTACACTGCAGTTGTTATTTGCGCTGATCTCTCGGGACAGGCGCTGCACGACAGACAGCTCCACACACGCTCCACACATAACAAACAGGAACAGCCAGACGTTCCCCACCTCCCTCCCCCTTGACTAGGTCTGTCTACCCCCTTGATCCCACAGATTTTACTGCCCTGCACCCAGTGCTGGGGTTCACATGGGACTCGGCCAGGGGAGGGCGCTGTCTCGCTCCGGGCGGGGAGGGGAGGGGATCTGAGCAGGACAGACGGGACTGAAGAGGACAGCGCAGGTGTGAGACTTGCCGGGAAAGGGGGAGGTGTTGGGGTGTTTTCTGGGGAGAGCAGGGCTGTGTGGCAGGTTGGGGGCAGCCTGGGGACTTGTGTTTTGTGGCGAGTGGGGATTATTGCGCTAATTTGTATTTGTGTGTGTATCTCTCGCGGATATTTTCTATATTCTGTTTTTCAGATTAGACAGCGTGATTGCTTACTGTGGTTGCTACCAAGGAGTAAAGACTGCAGATCTGTCGTCCTAACGTCCTGCACACACACCTAACACGTTCAAGACATTATCGCCCGGAAGTGACGGACAACTGCCGGTCTCCATGGAAGAAAATGAGGATGGGACACATGAGAGGAGACCCGTCAGCCCATCTAGAGTTTTTGGCAGTAGCTGACTGAGAGAAGCGTGTTCCAAACGCACTCTGGGCGCTCCTCTTGGCTCCCGGAAGGACCGGCGTCCTGCTGCGATACTGAGCTCCGTGAAGTTGCCCCCCTACAAACAGCACAGATGAAACCCAGCTCAGTTTGTGCTGCTTTCGTTTCCGAGGTATAGCGCCCTGTTTTTTCGGGGTCGTGACGTCACTACAACGTCGTAGGGGAACCGGACCGGTTGTGTGGCTCATGGTCACATGATTCCAGGAAAAAGAAGGCGCTATATCTCGGGAGTGAAAGCAGCTGGGAAGTTACTTTCAACGGCACAAACGCAGCACTAACGTGTGTGCTGTCTGTAGGGGGCCAACTTCAAGGAGCTGCGATTACGTTGCGCCATGGGCGGCGCTTGTGGCAGATCCATAAAGCCACACAACCGGACACCCCGTCACCAGAACATTAGTCCACCAGAGGCGGTTTCTCCTGTCTGCTTCAACAAACTGTGCCGGAGTTATATATATATATGTTAATTTCTTTTACTGGCCTTTTCATCCGAAGTGACCAAGGCTTGTACCCATTTCTTCAGATATTTCCCTGAAGCGCTCGGAGCGCTGCGCCTTACGCGCACTACAGCGAGCTGACGGATCCTGACTGCTGCTACAGTAAGTAAAAGAGCCTTTAAGTTACTGCAGGTGAACAATTCTGTCACGTACAAGATAAACGAATGTCACGTTCTGCCGTTTGAAAGTCAGACCTTTTCAATGAATATTATAAGGGTTAGGTTACAGTTCGAGATACTTGTGTAACGAAACGCACAAGAACACATCCAGCAAACTCAATTTCTTACAGTTTAGTCCGTTGACGTGTCCGTGAAAAAAGTTAAGACTCCTACAATCTTTACTTCATCTATTGAATTATCTTTATAATATATGCTCTGCATCGAACATAAGACCCTGCTTTCAACGGAGACAAAACCTGTTGGCAGGCAGAACAAGTGACAGTCTTGCGTAATTCGGGAAGTTTCGGACTCCCCTGATCACAGTGTTAGACCGATAGGGCAGTCCCTGTAGTCCTGTTAATTGTGGCAATAAACAGCAGGCAATCAGCTCAACTGCCCCACCCTACAGACGATGAAACCCACCTCATTTGTTTGTGCCGCTTTGTGGCGTTGAAAGTAGCTTCCCAGCTGCTTTCGTTCCCGAGATATAGCGCCTTGTTTTTCCGGTGATCACGCACGGTCACGTTGACCTCCAGTGACCCCGTCTGCCGAGTTCAAGCGTCTGTCGCTGGTGCGAGAGGAACAATTCTGCAATTCTGTTTCTCTGTTTCCCCGGTTGAAGGGTGACGGTGGATTTTGCTTTTAATATCCGTATCTTCTGCGCGTTTGTGTGAACAGGAAAATTAAAATTGTCGCCAATATCATAGGAAGAGGCTTTAACGAGCACGTCTCAATATTTCGTAGCCGGTTCCTTTTCCCGCATGTACCCGGTCTCATCTCAAACTCCTGTCTGTGAAACCCAACACAGCAATCGCACAGAGGAGAGAAGTTCCGGCAAAGGGTAAATGCGGTTACCATCCATTTTGGTAAATCCGTTTAAGTAAGGAACATATTGTAACGCTTACGGTCGACAGGTACCGTGCAAGAGCCACTTTACCAGAGCAGGTGACGTCACCGCCCTTCCCTGTGATAGCAGGACTACAGCTACTGGGCTGGGGAGAGATCTCACCGGGCTGGGTCCCTGTTGAGTGATGCGGGAGTCCCGGGTTCGAGCCCCCGAAGGTGCGGGGCCACCTGAACCCCGTTGCGTTACAATACTAGCAACAAGAAAAAAAAAATCAGAAAAGCTGTTATCGGTACTCTTACAAAGCTCCGGACAACACGGCGCTGTGTTGCGACAGTGTTTTGAGGAACAGAAGCTGTGTAGCAGAAGAGCACATCTTTGTCGCTCCGTGTTCAGTGTGCTTCCCAGCGGCTCGGAAAACGGTTAATAAATCGTTACTCATTTAAATGCAAAATCTCTCCACTTCAGCGTTACCCAAGCTAATAAACAGTAGTTTGTCATTTCAACAGAAAGTCTTTTCCAGTTATAATAACGTTCGACGCACATACTGTTACAGATCAGCAGAAGCATCGAATACAATTAACCACGTGTATAGTCAAGATCCTTTTTTTTAAAAAAGGTGAATAATCAATGCAATTCACTTACTATGAAACCGAGGCCTCTCGCAATTACTTGAAGGGAAATCATCCAGTCCAGTAAGTCGGCAGGCGGTACGAGCGATAGTCTTTCGACACGCTTTATCTCCCCTGATAACAGAGGAGAGGGAAGCAGCAGGGAGCTGGCGATTCACCGGGTGGGCTGTTGAGCAAGCTCTGTTTTGTAATGCGGTGGATAAAACACAGCAGCTGTACCTGCTGTGAGCCTGGTCAGTTCCTGGATGGGAGACTCTTGGGAAAAACTAAGGTTGCTGCTGTAAGAGGTGTTAGTGGGGCCAGTAGGGGGCGCTCACCCCTGTTGTCTGTGTGAGTCCTAATACCTCAGCACAGTGACGGGGACACTATACTGTAAAAAGATGCCGTCATTTGGATGAGATGTAAAACCGAGGTCCTGACTCTCTGTGGTCATTAAAAATCCCAGGGGGTTTCTTGAAAAGAGTAGGGGTGTAACCCCGGCGTCCTGGCCAAATGTCCCCCTGGCCTTTACCAGTTATGGCCTCCTAATAACCCCCATCTCTGAACTGGCTTCATCACTCTGCTCTCCTCCCCACTGAGAGCTGGTGTGTGGGGAGTGGACTGGCGCCTCATCCAGCTGGGGCTGCACACTGGTGGTGGTGGAGGGGATCCCCATTACCTGTTAAGCGCTTTGAGTGGAGTGTCCAGATATGATCTGTATAAGTGTAAGCAATTATTATTATTAATGGAGTACCACAGGGGTCTGTACTGGGCCCACTGCTCTTACCTGAAATCTTAACCAAATCAGTTATACTAATTAAGGAGGATTAGCCAGCACTGCAGAAGGTGCAAAGGAATCTAAAAAAATAATACATTAATTTCAGCATAAAGCAATATTTATATCTTTACATTTAATGTTTTTGTTGAATCTTGCTTCGGTTTGTTTACAACACAAGCCCATCCTGAAAATGCAAATAAGACGCCATAGGAACATGAACCAGGCGCCACATGTGGAAACTCCATGGGAGGGTTTTTAATGCTGAGAACAGGATGTTCTTCTATACACCAAAGTCTGTGGGTGCCTGGAACAAGTTACTCAGCCAGGCTGTAAGAAATACCTATAAGGTACAGCATTTTCCAGCTTTAGAAGTAATATATTTGCCACTGGGGCTGCCAGAAAATGACAAAACCACATTCCACGTGTCACAGGCGGTACAATGTGCCTTTATTGTTCACAAGGTTTGATTTGGGCTTGCTAGTCTCACAACCCCTTGGGTCTGCAGCTCAATTCCTGGGGTGCTATCTTTGTGGAGTTTGTATGTTCTTCCCATATTCTCATGGGTTTCCTCTGGGTGCTCTGGGTTTCTCCCTTAGCTCAAAGACATGCTGGGAGGTTAACTGGCTTCTGGGAAAATTAGTGTTTCTGGGAAAACAGGCCCTGGTGTGTTTGCCTCTGTGAGCCCTGATGTCCCATCCAGGATGTACCCAACCTTGTGCCTGTTGCTTGCTGGGATAGGCTCAGGAGATGGATGGGCAGTGCAGCCCAGACTAAGAGTGAGGGGTGGGACCCCTTCTGCACGCAGCCTGTGCAGTCATTTCATATGCACAAGTTGTGGAGGGGATCAAACCCTAGTCCTGTCCGTTTCCGTACCTACAGTAGATCCCAGTGCCTCACTTGTGTGTCATCTGTTCACATCCCACCCTCCCCTCCTGGCTCGTCCGCGCAGCTGGGAGAGCAGGGAGAGGCCGAGGTGCTGAAGCGTGTGTTTGCTCCTGTGTCAGGTGATGGAGGAGGGCAAAGCTTCGGGCTCTGTTCCTGCAGGCTGGGAGTTGAACCCCTCCAAGCTGCAGGCTAAGCTGTCCATGTTCAACATTGACATGTGGAAGGCCGTGGCGGAGATGGAGAAGGAGTTTGCCGAGATCCGCGCCCAGCGGCCCAGAGGATACTTTCCCGAGATGAGGAGTGAGGTGAAGAGGTTGCAGACCTTTGACTCCTTACGGTCGTATTCCTCCTGGTCGCCGGAGGAGATGTCCCAGAGCGGCTTTTACCACACGGGTCTCAAGGACAGCGTGCAGTGCTTCTGCTGCGGGCTGGTGGTTTGCACACAGAGCCTGAATGAAAGTCCCTCTGACAGCCACCGGAAGTTCAGCCCGGACTGCGACTTCCTCCGCGGTGGGGAAGCCGGCAACATCCCGCAGTACGAGGTGAAGGTCCGGGGGAAAGGACCGGCTCCGCCGGGGGGCGCGGAGCAGTACGAGTCGGAAAGCGGCCGGCTGGAGACGTTCCAGAACTGGCCCTTCTATGCCAGCGTGGCGCCACGAGACCTGGCCAGCGCCGGCTTCTTCTTCACAGGTTTGAACCCGCTCCTCCTCCCACACGGAGTCCCTGGACAGAGTGGAGTCAGTGAGAGGCGTTGATCCAGAAGCATTTACACTCACTTTCACGCTCACAAAAAGTTCGGAGCAGGTGCTCTGCAGCAAGTAGCATCTGCTGTTTGCAGAGAGTTATCAGGATGTTTAAGATTTAGATACCTTTCTCAGATGATGCTCTGTCTCTCGTTGTCCTACACTTTTTAGAAATGTACGATTCTTTACACAAAGGGTGGTAGGAGAACCCAGCTACTTGGCCGTGTTGCTGAGGGTGAACCCCCAGGTTCTCTCCTATCCTTGTAAACCCAGTTAGGCCCTCAGGCCTCCGCAGGTCCACGGGGATGATGCGCTCTGGAAGTGGTGTCTCCTGTCTCCGCAGGACAGACGGATGTCGTGCAGTGTTTCTGCTGTGCCGGGCTCCTGGCACACTGGGAGACGGGAGACGAGCCGTGGAAGGAACACGCCAAGTGGTTTCCAGAGTGAGAGAAATGTGTTAATTGTCATGATTAGCGTTGGAGAGGATGTGCACAACAAGAGAACTTTCAACATCATTCTTTAAATGCCTTAAAATAGAAGCATCTTTTCATGCTATTTTTTTTAGTTTTGACCTGTGTTTTTGTGTTAACTGTATTAATTTTCCAGAAGAGCTGTGTGTGTGCTGTGTGTGCACTGTACGCATGTATGCTGTGTGTGTGCCTGAGCTGATTAAGGACAGATTTCTGTTTAAATTGACCATTTCAGTTAGTTTTTAGGAGAATAGATTCAATCTGGGTGGGTTTCATGCTGTGGTTTTTGAGTAAAGTTTTGTCACATACTGTAGGGTAACAGTGTTAGAGGTCAGGTTGATAAGATTAATTTAGTGAAAAAGTCAGGATTTTGTTGTTATTATTAAGGGTTATATACAGGGTTAGCGTGACATGAGAGCAAGTTGAAATTAATCATACAAGCTGAAAAAAATCTCAAATGAGAAATAAAAGTGCAATCTGACATTAATCCATTATTTTACTGATTTAGTTGTGAATTTGTACATGAGAAGAAATCGAGTCAAGAAATCTCTGAATACATCAGGAGTTATGAAGGATTCTGTGGTATCACGGTAACTTTTTAAAACTGTACAATCATATCTCTACTTTGGAACATAGTAATATGTAATATGCCACACTTGATCAGGAGAATTAGTGGCCCTTTTTTAACTTAAAAGTAAAAAAAAATGCATTATTTTAACTACATAAAATTATAATTTTTAACTAATTAGTATTAAAAGACCTCATCTGTGCTAATAGTTTGTCTGAAGTTTATATATCACTTTATATCAGTTCACCAAATCTTAAATATGTACTTCATATCAAAAATATATATTTCTCTTCTTTACCAGGCACAGCACTACAGCTCAGAAGGCTGGACAGACATGGAGACAATGCAGAGTCCTGATGGACAAGGTCAGTAATGCTCGCTGACCAGTGCTGTGGTCATTCCAGGCTCAAGGGCAAGTAATGCAGACTGACCAGACCTGTGGCCACTTCAGGCTCAAGGGTTAGTAACACTGATTGACCAGTGCTGTGGTCATTCCAGGTTCAAGGGTCTATAGACACACAGTGAAGAGCTAAAGGGACAGAGTGCAGTCTCACACTGTGCACTATAGACACACAGTGAAGAGCTA